CGTAATGAATTGGGGGGAATATAGAAGTGGGAGAGGGGGGAGAACCAACAGTGCCAGAGTGGAAAGGTTGAGGAAAGGAGGGTGAAAAATTCACCGTATTTCTCAGGAGAAGGTGTGTCTTCCAGCTCTGCTTCTTACACTTGTTTGGCAGACATTGTAGGTGATGGGCATTTTAGGCAAGAAGTAAGTGAAGGGCTGATCTGTAAAAATGTCACTTCGTAACTTACTATCTCCTGCTGGTAACTAGTTTTAAGATGTGTCTTAGACGTCACATTTAAAATACTGTGAAAACAGCTCATCTGAAAATAATTTTTCTGAATCAAACGTACTCTATTTTTGAAACCGCAAGAGTACGAATGGAAAGAAGAATGGAACCAGAGATGTCTGTGCTTTTGGCTTGCTGTAGGCATAAAATCATCTCTGCCTGAGGCAATGGGAGCTCCTGGCCTTTGCAACCGTTTTTCAAAGCTTACTGAAAACATCTTGCTGACAAAGCAGTAGTGTTCGTTCTGGGACTTATCCTAGGGACTTCATAAAAGTTAAGCGGTAAAATGGAAGAACGGGCAACGTTTGGAAGGAAAGTATCCAGTAGATGGCTGTCCCGTTAGCAAAAGAAACAGGTTGGGAAAAGGGCATTTTCATTATTTTCAAACTATGTTCTTGTTGTATACAAATACGACTTGCATCAAGTTTCTCGTTTTCTACCTTTGTTTTTAGTTCTGAAGGCTGCAGTGTGGATGATGATGTTGATAAGCAATTCTGAACTTGCAGCATTTTTTGTTCTAAGAACCTTAGGCAAAATAAACATCCAAGATGGCATAAACTTGAAGTAAACTTAGCAGTGCAGTTCCCATGCAATGCGATCTATCTTCAGCAGTGTGGCATGACGACTTCAAAAATTAAAAAAAAAAAAAAAAAAGAAAAAAACTCCTAAGATTGTACAAATACAGAAGTGTAGGAAACATGAAGGAAAAACATCTTCTTTGCTTTGTTTGGTTACTGCTGACTGGGCTTGTAGGACTGTGAGTCCGAAGTCTGGACTTCCAGTTGTCTTTTTTCTTTCCTACTGGTGATCATTGTATAAATCAAGCCATATAACTAAGCTGTGTTTTAAGCAAAATGAGAATTAGGATGCGAAGTGAAAATCCAAGATGTATGCCGGTATGATTTGTCTTAATTGATTGCATGTCGTAAGAATGTGTGTGTGGATGAAATGTGTTACAGGATTCAGTAAGAATAAGGATAATAATCAAACTTGGAAGATAGAAAGGGGGTAAGATCAGTACATCAGTTGCAACACAAAGGGCTATGTATCTCAGAAATCTGCAGTTTACTTCAAAGTAGTTGAGAAACCGGGTGTTCTACATACAGTTAGCATTTTTATATAATGCTTTTTTTTATATCTCACAATTGTTTAACTGAGGAAATTTTTTTGTTTCAGACAATGGCTGACTAATAAGTCTGCAATAAGTTATTCCGAACAACTATAGCAGTATGATGAACCTGCTATTAAATTAACACCAACACCAAAAAGCTATGCAGATCTAGTTCTAGCCATTTTTATCCTGAGAATGTTTTAAGTTCAGGTGCTGCTAAATGATGTGGAACATCCAAAGAACCCATGTCTCTGGTGTGTTTTATTTCCACCTGTCTTTGTGAGCATTGCCTAAGCCCGTACAAGGCACCACAAAGTTGCGAATGTGAAGTAGCATTCTACTTTGTGTTTCTCTGATAATAATTTTAATGTTACTTTCAGTTCTAAGTGGGAAAGGATTTTCGTGGTGTTTTTTATATAGTGCCTCAGTTATTACTATGAAACCAATATATACAGCTTTTCACTTGGTTTGAGTTGAATTAGATTTTTTTTTTTATGTTGTAGGACTCTGTCAGGTAACTGTTGCTGTAGATTGGCTATTTATTGCCTATACTTTATCGATTTAGTAGGCGCTAGATATTTGCGGTTTGGGAAATTAAAGATAATACTTTATGTAACTAAAGTTTTGAAGTGAGAATGCTGTTGTTGCAAAATTCACTGGGTGCTGGCTCCTGCTGAGGTGTATGGACATAAAAAGTTCTTAATCTCTAATGATAAAGTCTTAACTGTAGATTGATTAAGTAGGCTACATAAGTAGCATAATGATCTCTAAATTCTTCTCCTTTTCTATAAACAGGGTTATTTCCTTCTCTTTGAGTCAATGCTGGATTCTGTCATCTATGCAAAGGACAAGTACCTGGCAGAGGGAGGCTCAGGTTGGTATGCATAATTCTTTTAATAAATTTAGCTCTAGGGGGGAAACTAAATGAACTCAGAGACTTAGAATAAGCTATGCATGGATGAGAAAGTTGCCAGTCTAAATGAAAAATGTTTCCATTAGTATGAGCTTCAAGGCATTAATTTACTGTTTGGGTAATAGAAGAACATTAGATGGGGTATCAAGGTCTCAAGTTAATGGTGTTTTTAAGAATAGAGGGGGTTATTTATTCTTAAGTACAATCTAAATTTTTCCGCTGTACTACTACTTATACATGTGGGCATTTGTTTTCCCCTCTCGAAATCGCGGTTTCTGCAAAACTACGAACAGAGGAAAGTAAGTTCTATTCTCTAAGATGTGATACTGTTTGAGTAAGCTACTATGAATTAGAGGAAAAGTGTGTGGTATGTTTTCTTGGAGGAAGGAAGTTGTGTGGGAAGGACACGAGAAGCCACACGAAATAGCTAATGGAATTACATTGCTTCAGTTCAGCATGTGTATTCTATCCTGGCGGGAATATACACTTTTTCTTCGTGGTTGGACGGTAGGGAAGTAACAGAACGAACAGGTTTTGTTTTGCAGTAGAGTTCTTCTATCCTTTTAAGTAGCTTAGTGTCATCTTGAGCAGTGTTAAAACACCTGGAAATATTTATTCCTCATGTGATGCAGTTTTCTGCACAAGTTCTGCATATGCTTTATTCCTTGCACTTAATTCCTCTGTCAGTATTGTATTTCATATTGACCTTTTCAGTCGTAGTCATCAGTCTGGGTTTTTTTCCCCCTTTGTGCTAACCATGCACATAGTTAGTTTCACTACGCTGACTTAATGATTGGATTAATGACTGTGTAAGGGCGCTTGCTGCAGTGCTTCCCTTTGCAGTGAGCTTTTGTATGCTACAGAGTGCAGCAGAAAAAAGAGGGTTTATGCAATCGTTCAACATTCACTGAATATATTCAGCGAATTATATTCAACATCGTTGAATTCTAGTCAACAAAGCTGAATATACAAGCAAGAGATTACTGTTCCTGTGTTAAAATATTTAGAAGCCACTTGAACAACATGTCAGAATAAGAGCTTTTTTGAGTAATATGGAATAGTCCAGGCAGATCTGGAAGACAGTTGTGGTGTTCTCGGTATAGATATATGCTGATAATTTTACATTGCAATATAATTATATATATATTATATATATATCTGGGGACAAGCCCTAAAATTGTACGGAATCGTATTATGTTTTGCTACTGCTTCCAAAGCCTTCTGAAAAAGGCCAGAAATTTTTGACCTCTGTTGAAACTGCGATAGTATCTTCTTCTCGCTTTGTATTGTTGGTAAATTTGCTAGCGGCTTTTTTCCTCCCAAAAATACTTTTTG